GCGGCCGGCGGGGATTTGGCTGCTTTTTTCACTCAGCGGTCGCGCCTGATGGGTTCCCCCGGGTTTGGTGGCGCGTGTTTTCCCGTGCGCGGCTTGCTGGGCTCCCCGCGCTTCCCGCCGAGCTGCGCACCGAGGGAGCGTAACCGTTCAGGCTTGCCTACAGGCGCGTCCTCAGGGCGGCATCTCCCGCTGCCGTCGGCGGCAGATAAGTGGCTATGTGCTGTGCAGGATGGAGACCTTCCTTCCCAGCTGGAGTAGGCTGAAGGTCCAGGCAACCTGGCTCCCCTCCTCCTGTGCCTTGACAAGCATGCCTGCCCCTCTGCGCACCCCCAAAAAGCTAGTCCCCAGGAGAGGCAGCGATCCCTCAGCTAGCTCAGGTCTTCCCCCATCTCGCACCACTGAACCCTTATGCCTTCTGTCCACCGAAGCTCCTGCCTGCTTCAGTTTGCTGTTTCCTTGCCTTACTGCTAGGAAATGCTGCTTGCCCTTTTTCGTGGCTGTATCAGTTAACTGGCTATATTAATGCCGTTATGTACATTATCTCTGGAAAGGTAAGGGAGAACAAACAGGATAGGACCAGAAAGGCAACAGATAAGAAAGGCAGTCCAGGTAGCAGCTGGCTGTACTAGAGGTAACGTCTGCTCTTGCTGATTTCTGGAAGAGTACCAACTGTGAGGTGCCCGGCAGAATATTGGCACCTCGTGAATCAGCCATAGCATTCCCCATAGGATTTGGGGCTTTCAAAGGCAGTCTCTTGTCCAAATACTTAAAAGGGCCGATCCTACTTGCGTTTTGGAAGTACAATGAATTCATAATCCATAGCTGTGTTTTAAAGCTAGAGTGTAAAACTCATCTCTGAAGACAACAATTTGGCATGATGTCAGAATGATCTGAAGATGGATGGGAAATGTCTAGAGTCACAATACTATGGATTAAAGCAAATACTCTAACAGAAAGACCATTATGCTGCAGATTCCAGAGTATAAACCAACTTCTAAGAACCTGAAAATCCTGAAGTTTCTTATCTCAGATCATGCCCGTCCACCTTCTCTGGGATGAACGGCTGCTGGCAGTAGTTAGAAACAGTATCCTGAACCAGGAGGTCAGTGCACTATGATGCTGTAATTCAAGGCTCAAATTGCAGTGATGGTGAATTATTCCCAACCTGTCCGTTTCCTCTTTGTTCTGTGATATACTTAGTGGAATGAGCACAAGGAACAATTTCTGTCTTCTCTGGTCTTGTCATGTTTTTCCTGGAGGGCAAGCAACAACAAGGACTGTGATGTTTCAGGTATTTTTAATGCTTTCCTAAGCCCGCAGACTTACACAGTGGTAGAGGCTACGTAGGACTCACCTCAGATGATGGCTTGCACCAGCTCAAGCCTTGTCCAGTTGGAAGTTAAAAGGATACTGTGCAGACCTGATATCTGCAGGATGCAGTGTGTGTTTGTCCACTGAATCAAAGTCGCAGATGTGCATTGTGTTTTTGGGACTCACCTGGCAGTACTACTGATCTTTTGCAGATTATACCCCAGAATGTGTCCACAGCTCTGAACACAGGCTATCCCTATGTGTAAGCAAAGCCAAGCTACTCAAGGAACCCAGTTCTCCATGTAGGCTAAAAAACCAAAGTTAAGGAGCGGTATATGCTGGCCTTCAGAGATCTCCTTGCTACTATGGTCCTGCTCCTTTCAAGTACCCAAACGAGGCTATTTGGTGCCAGCTCAAATGTCTTCCCATGGCATACACATCTCCTCCACCCACATGCCTCTCCTGTCACTGTAGCCCTTAAGATCCTAAAAAAAGAACCAAATGTGCAGTGGAGAAGTATGAAAGAGAGGCATGTTATACTGCGAGGCAATCTCATATATCTGCTGTTCATCATTACCATTAATGTATGATCTGCGTTCTGGCCATGCTAACAATGTACTGGGTCAGGATCTCACTGTACACTGAAAATACTAGGAAATGCCCTTCAGTGACAGGGAAAATGCCTGGTTCCAGGATTCAAAATGGGCGTGGAGCCAAATTTTTCAAAATTACTTTTCTCCGAAAGGCTCCTTCTGTAAGTGGACTGACCAGATTTGCAAAAGAAGCCTGGACTCAGTTTGCCTCAGAAAGCTCTCTCTCTATTTGGCCCCCCTTATGTAGGACAAAGTGCTCAGGAATCATGAAGTGAAAGGGGCCATAGCTGGGACATGGGCTCACCAGCACCGTTCTGACACCTGATACCAGAGCCCCTTCCATTCCTCTCCCAGCAGGTAGCAAGACTTTGGTGAGTAAGACCTTTGGTGGGGTTTGTTTCCAGTTTTGGTTTTCTAGGTTATAACTACATCACTGGTGACAGGGTGGCATCTGTCATTTTTTGCTTGATTACACAGTGAGTTACCAGAGACTAGCTGGATGCTCAGTGACATTGTTCCTGAGCAGGTGCTGCTTTCTGCACCCTCCACAGCATGACCTTGCTAAAAGAGGCAAAGCATTGCAAAGCTTAGTGACAAAGAGTGGTGCTGAGAGCCAGGATTGCAGACTTAGGGAGAAAAACCCTCTGGGATGAGAGCTGCAAATGTGACTAGCAGATGTTCAGCACAGTGTTTTCAACATAACCTTATTTCTTTTACTCTGTAAAGAAGCCTTGAAGCAAAAGTGAAGTCATAAGATCCATGTCAGGAGAGAAATAAGATCTTTGGCCATGCTAAGACATACTTTCTGTAAAGCCAAAGAGAGATGAAAAGCAAAAATCCCCTTAGCCGCCTTAAATCTACCAAAATATTTTTATTGTCCTGAGCAACCGCAAAGACAATCAAAGAGGGTATCAGGAACACAGAGCAGCTATTCTGGGTCAGAACAGGTTCTTTTTGTCCAGTAGCTTATTTCTGACAAAGGTTGGTTGGGGATTCCAAAAGATAGAAAGAAAATGTATAGTGCCCCTTCCTCTGGTAAACTCTCCCAGTTTCTATTAATATGCAAGCTCAGTGTTTCCTGAGCCAGCGTTGTATGTTTGTGTGTTCAATAACACCTGGCGTTTTTTTCTTTCATGAATCTTATTCCTTTTGAACCGTTTTATATTTTTGACCTGCACAGCCATCCTGCGGCAGGAATTTCCACAGCTTAGTTACACACTTACTAGCTCTTGTATTGTGAGAAGTACTGCACAAGCATTCCCCGTTCACCTTCTCCATGCCATTCATGATTCTGTGTGCATTCAACATGTCAGCTGCCTCAGCTGCCTTTGTTGCAGTCTAGAGAGGACTAGTTTATTTAAATCTTTCTTCACACATGATCTTTGGTCATACTGGTGGCCCTTCTGTGTACCATTTGCAGTTCTTTTCTACCCTGACATAAGAGAGTTTGGAAAGAAGAGTGAGTGCTTCTTTGGAAAGAAGAGTGAAAACAGCAGCACAAAGATTTGAACTGTAAAAACTCTCTTTCTTTGGTCATACTCTACTGAGAAGGTTTCAAGGGGAAGGGAAACTAGAAGTAACTAAGGAGTTGGACTAAATACCAGAAGAGCTCCAAGCTGGCCAGAAAGTGAAACTTCAGAGGACTCATATCCCACTTTTCTCCCTGTAATGACTGGGCACATGAGAACTCCTGAACAGCTAA